GGTTCTTCAAGGCTGCCCGAAAGAGCCAGACGAGAGCACTGTGGCCGCTTTGGGTGGCATGGGTCTTCAGCCTGTCATTCTGCTCGACAACGACAAGGAGGATGTCCCCGCGAAGATCGAGACATATATGAGGCAGATTCTGCCGGACCTCATCAGCAGAGAGCCATCATCCTATGTTCGGGTCACGCTAGAGACAGCCGTCCAAGTGGCTCACACCACCAACGACGAGTTGCTGCGCAGGTCGCTAGAGCTTTGGAGCATTGTCGAGATCATGGACCGTGAGAGACAGTGGACGATGCTCGCGAAATCATCCTCCGATGACTTCGAGGACCACTGGATCAAGGACGAGTCCGACAGTGAGCCATACACAAACATCTGCATGCAGCTCAACGCAGGTGCGGAGCGCAAGGCAGCGGCAGCCAGCAAGAGCCTTCTCAACGGGATACAGCGCAACTTACAGGATGGCAAGCTCAAGCTCGGCTTTCCAATGTTCCTCACGGTCATGCTATTCATGAACTGCGTGGAGAAGACGACGTGGGCGTTCAAGGCGTGGGATCAGGAGAACCTCCGGCCCAAGTGGCCATTGGAGAAGCAGCCGAGCAGCTTCACGAATCAGGGGCATGGGCTGTGCGAGCTGCTGCGCATGCTGTTGTCCATACGGCACATCCTGCCCAAGACCACCAGCACAGACTCCACGGTGCCTATCGTGTCGGATGACCAGGACCCTGTTGTTCAGAAGTACTTTCAAGATCTGAGCATAACGCGTGAGTTTCTGCACATGCCATATTGGCGGGACCGCTGGCTAATGATGATGTATACAGCTGCTTATCTGCGAGCGCGACACGAACAGAACCACTTTTCGCCGACAGACTCGCGGTCACTGGAGTTTCTGTATTGCGCTCCACTGCTGTTGAGTCCAGCCTCTGTACCAGGACCCGCTGTGGTGTGAGCGACGGGCAGTGAGGACAGGCAGCCTAATGAAGCCAGAGAGAACCACCTTTCAACGAGTTGTATTGCTCCGATTAGAGGCGTATTGCCAAGGAAAGAACAGGAATGGGAAATGGAGGAAACCAAACGATGTCTCACGACTGGAGTTCAATGGTTGGCTTTTCCACGTGTCGGGGTCTAAACAAGGACTCGACAAGACGTGGCGGGCAGGAGAATGGCGTCGAGCAAAAAATAGATACCCCCCAACGGTTTGCAAGAATACACACAACCATTATGCCTTTCTGCCCGCCGACTCGGAGCATCGCAATTTCACCAGACATGGATGGGACTTGCCGCAAGTTGCCGGTGCAGATTTCCCCTGCAGACGATCGTCATTCCTGAAGCAGGACCCCTGCTCGTCCCCGAGCTTCCCCACTCCAGCCCTGCGGCTACCCCGGTCGTGCTTACGCCGAGCGCCGTCCGATGACATCCTTCTCTTGCGCTCTCCCATCTGCCCCTTGCGGCTCTGCCCGCCCGCATGAGCACGAGGCCACACACCACGCTCCATTGGAGCGAATCATACGAGCACGATGCGCTGGCTCCAGAATCGCTGCTTGGCACGGCACCGTCTGGGCTTTGGGGATGACGTGCGTGTGTGAAGCTCCTGCAGGCCTTCAACGTTGCTACATTGCATATGTCTCTCTTCCCAGATCCACGGTCTTGGGAGCCCAACATATTGCATTCTGCCCTATGTGTGCCGGCTTGAATTAGCTGCAAAGAACTACTCAGTGGACATCAATTCGCCACGGTCCTTGCTGTTATCTGGTTGCTCGAACAGAAGATGATGTGCGGGCATCTCGCGGCAGCCATTGCCGCCGGCGTGTCTGTTCTGCGCACCGCAAGGGCTGCTGAACTGGCAGACTACGTCCTGCCTCTTGTAAGTCCTCGAAGCATTCCCCCTCTTTCACCACGAGACGACAAGGTAGAACCCGTCATGGCTCACCACACACATCACCACCACCACAGACTGGCTCCATCAATGGCGGCAACACCTTCCCCGGCGCCGCCCTGCCGATGGGCATGGTTAAGCTCGGCCCGGACCTGTACACGGGCAGCGACAGCTACTCGGGCTACCAGCCTGGGGGCGTATTCGTCGGGTTCAGCATGCTGCACATGAGCGGCACGGGAGGGGCGCCCAAGTATGGCGTCGTGGCGCAGATGCCAGTCCTCGGGAGCGGCGGCGAGGGCGATGGCTTCGTGACGAACCCGCTGGCGAACATCAGCGTCGGCCGCAGCGAGGGTGGCGAAGATGTCGCGCGCTTGGGGTACTACAAGGCGAGCCTGGCCAGTGGGGTTACCGTCGAGATGGCGGCGACGTACAAGGCTGGGATGTACCGCTACGTATTTCCTGAGGGCGAGGTCGGCAGCAATGTCGTGGTCGACGTGTCGCATGTGCTGCCGTCCTTTCGGGGCCAGGGGCTCGGGCAGAGTTACCTGGGCGGCAATATCTCTGTCGAGACCGATGGAGAAGGCAAGGTGGTGCAGTACACAGGGAATGGGTCCTACGACAACGTGAGTAGATTCCTCCCCCTTGTGGTCCATGGGAGTCTGGGGACTATGTACACTGACATTTGCAGGTAACAGGGCTGGAACCGCTCGCCAAAGTGGACCGTCTACTTCTGCGGATCTTTCGACACGGCAGCGACGTACAAGACGTTCCTTGGCAATGCCACGGCCGGCGAGACACTCGAGTCCTACGACGAGACGCCCAGCATGGACTCGGTGAATCGCCTCGGCGCGGTCTTCTCGTTCGGCAATGCCAGGCAGGTCGTCTCGCGGGTCGGCGTGTCGTTTATCTCGGCGGAGCAGGCCTGCTCGAACGTCGATAGCGAAGTACCGGAGGACAGCGCCAGCATCGAGAGCCTTGAAGACGCCGCCAGAAGGGTGTGGAACGACAAGGTGTTGTCCAAGATCACGACGACGGACACGCGCAGTGAGAGCAGCCTGCAGCTGCTGTACTCGTCGCTGTTCCACATGACGCTCGTTCCGAGCAATAAGACGGGAGAGAACCCGAAGTGGTCGTCTGATGCGCCGTACTATGACGATATCTTCACATTCTGGGACACGGTATGACAATTTTCCCTTGGCTATAATGAGATTGACTACTTCCAATCTAGTGCAGCCAAGCTAACAACGACCTCTCTTTGACAAGTTCCGATGCACCACCTCCCTGTTCCACATCGTCCTCCCCGAGGAGTACGAGGAGTTTATCCGCTCCCTCGTCGACATCTGGAAGAACGATGGCTTTCTGCCCGACGGCCGATCCTCGTTCTTCAACGGCGCCACGCAAGGCGGTTCCAATGCCGACAACGTCCTCGCTGACGCCTACATCAAGGGTGTGCGGGGACTCGTCGACTGGGAGCAGGCGTACGCCGCTATGGTCACCGATGCCGAGGAAGTCCCCCCCAACAACAACGACCCACGGGACCGAAGCTCGTCGACGAAGGAAGGGCGCGGCGCGCTGGCCGACTGGCTTGAGCATGGGTATATATCGACAAAGTATGGCCGGTCCGTGAGCCGTGCGATTGAGTAGTAAGTGCAGTCTCGTCTCGTCGCTGTCACGCAGAGATCCTGCCCGGGAAAGACAAGACCACTGACTCAACGCACCGTATTGTTTAGTGCTGGGAACGACTTTGCTCTGTACCAGGTGGCGAAAGGTCTAGGAAAGACCGAGGATACAGCGAAGTACCTGAACCGCTCTCGTAACTGGCGCAATCAGTGGAATCCAGACCTCGAGACACTAGACTTCAAGGGTTTCCTCGGACCAATTGCGGAGAATGGCAGCTTCCTCGACCAAGACCCCTTGAGCTGCGGCGGCTGCTATTGGGGAGATGACTACGTGAGTTCTACGTTGCTCCCAAATCGATATTCCCCAAGCATCATCATGCATCTGTTCAGTAACTGACTACTTAATCAATGTGCAGTACCAAGGTCTCCCCATAGAGTACTCCTTCAACGCACACCACGACGTATCCACCCTCATATCCTACGCCGGCGGCCCTGATGCCTTCCTAGCGCGACTCGACGCCATGTTCACGCCAGAACTCAATCCGAGCGGGGACTCGCGTTTTAACAAGACACTGTTCAACCCGGGCAACGAGCCGAGCTTCAACACGCCCTACATGTATCACTGGGTCGGCCGGCCCGATCTGTCCGTAAAGCAGAGCCGTAACATCGCCAAGTCGTACTTCAAGCCCACGCAGGGCGGACTACCTGGGAACTCGGACGCGGGCGCGATGGAGTCGTGGGTGTTGTGGAACATGATCGGGCTGTACCCCGTGACCGGGCAGACCACGTTCCTCGTTGGGTCGCCTTGGTTCTCAGATCTGACCATCACCCTCAGGGAGGGCCATGAGCTGCGGATGACGGCTACTTATGACGCCGACTACTCGCGAGAGGAGCAGCAGGCGGATGCATATTACGTGCAGAGCCTGAAGGTCAATGGGCATGACTGGGACAAGTCGTGGGTCACATGGGACGACGTATTTGCTACCAGAGACAGCGGAAGCGGGAGCAGCATGGAGTTCGTGCTGGGGAAAGAGCCGAGTACCTGGGCGACAGGAGACGACACCGAGCTGCCGCCTAGTCCTGCCTCCGAGACCTCGTAGGATCGGGATATGGAATCGCCAATAGTGGCACCGCCAGTATCGGGACAATCTGCTGCCCAGTTGGGCAATTAAGGTTCTAACCAGCCAGCGGTCCTTTAAACCCTACGAGTCTCGTTCTGGAGAGTTACAGGAAACGTGAGGAGCATTTAGCCAAATAGATCAAATTCCCAAACAGATAGCACAAAAAATCAAACTACAAAAAAGACCCGCCTCGGTCCATCACCAGGTGCCAGCTTCGTCCTCCCTCATGTCGCGCATCGCGAGGTCCAAACCTGCGACATGGGCCAGCTTCTCGCCAATCCAATTCCCGAATACCCCTTTCTATTGTGAAACGGGCAAAAAATCCAAAAACTGCAGAAGTTCCCAAAAAGAAGGTACAACAGAGGACTCTAACCTCCAATGCGATGGACTCGCGGGGAATCGAACCCCGGACCACTCCCATGCTCCTCATCTCGCTAGGAGACAGATGCTAAGGGAGTATTATACCACTAAACCACAAGCCCGGATGTGTTGTTGTGATTGGTTGAAATAACTCTGCTTTATCAAAGTATCCTACTCTTTGCAAAATGCAGGCGGTAGTGGGACAGGGATAAAAGAAAAAGAGAGCATGAGGATGTTACGAGAGACGTCTGTATGTTGTGCGCTTGTTTCGACATTGAGGACAAGCTGAGGCGCTTACTACTACGAAGCCAATCTCCCACTACCAAGGTTCATCGTTGGCGTTCAGTTGTCGCCGTAAACCACTGTTCATGCACACTGCTGCGGCCCGTTATGCTATGAGGCATCAGGCCATTTCAGAAAAGATACCCTGCGTGAATGCAGAGCAGAAAGTCTATTGACAGACAACGCGGAGGCGGAAAGGAGAGAGAAGAGACTGCTCTGTCTACAGTGGGATAGGCCAGGTTACAATGCTACACATTACCACGGGGAGAAACCTGGGGCCGTGCCGCTCGCCATCATCTCCCTCAGCACTTGAGCTAGGCCGTGGACGCTTACTGGTTTCGAACCAACCTGGAGATGTCCCTGAACAATGTCAATATCCTCACGGGCTGCTCAAATGCCATGTTGCAGCATGGCTTCCAAAAGAGCCCACCTGGTCAACAAACGCACCCTTTCGCCAATCTTCAACGTCTAGCTCCGCACGACCTTCTGTGCATGGTCCAAAGGAGGACAACTGAGTCCAGTATCTTGATCTTTAACGGTTTATTGTATTGGTGTTGTATCTGCGCGAGTGTATGGAAGAAACAAGGAAGGGGGGTCGTAACGTCTCCTCTCTCTGTAGCAGGGTATATATCGGCGTAAAGTTCGTTTTGGACTGCTCCCGAGAGCTTCTGACGTCGTTTCAAAGTGAAAGCAAGAGCATCACGGGGTGCTTGCTTGACGTCGCTTCGATCGGCCCTCATGGCTTGCGGTGTGTCCTTGCTGTCTATATCATGTATGCATCGTGCCCATCTCCTACTTCTGGAAGAACCAACTGCTTCTCTTACTAGTGTTGCCTTCGCTTTGTAGGGTCGCGACAGTCGGGACGGGAACCGGACCATCGCCGCCGGCACCGCCACCACGCAGGGGCTTGGCAATGCGGCTGCCCGCGCTGGCGAAGCTGAAGCCAGCACCGGGGCCGTTGAGGCCGCGGGTCGAGCCAGCCTTGGCTGCCTCGAGACGCTCCTTGACAGCAGTGAGTTGTGACTCGAATCTGGAAGTGGTGTCAGCCATAGTGTCGTGATGTATCTGTACTTTGAGGGTTAGACTGTACCTGTGGTTTGCAGCAGTAAGCTTCTCCTGGCTGTCTTGCAACAAGCTCTCCAGGCTAGAGATTCGCTCGTTTCTCGCAATCAGCTTCCTCTCAGCGATGGCAACCTCCTTCTTCAGCGAGCTGTTTTGCTCAACCAGCTGGCGCTGGACCTGCGTCAGTTGCTCAAGATTCCTCTCGAGGAAGGCCATCTTCTTCTGCTGCGCGCGGTTGTTAGACGAGCGCAGGACATTGTTGTACTGCTCGCGAGTCTCGTCAAGGGAGATCTCAAGCTCGACAACGCGCTCGCACCGGTTCTGAAGGTCGCGCATCAAGCTCTTCTTCATGACGTCGAACTCGGCAATCTGCTGCTGTATTGTCTTGCCGTTCGCTAGGCCAGGCGTTGCTGTAGTGGTGGCGCCCGTCTTCAGTCGACTCTGGAGGTCGTCGATGAGCGTCTTCATGCGATTGTTCTCGGCCGACTTCTGAGTGATCTCCACCTTGAGGTCGTCGACAAGCTCGATCTGGGTGGTAGTCCTGTTGGCATACGCCTTCTGCAGACGCGCCTTGACTTCCTCTACATCGGCTTCGCTGAGGTTTTGCGCCAAGACATCTTCGTACTCGTTCTGGAGAGTCTCGAGACGGGCCTCGAGCTCCGTGCGCCGCCGGGCGTCTGAGTCACCCGACCCTCCACTATATAGAGACAGCTCGGCCTGCCGTATGATGCCTTGTGTCTCAACAAGTCGTGTGCGCAGATCTGTCAAGTCATCTGGTGGGATAGGGTCACCCGAGGAGCTCTGCTCGAATAAGGCGTCGACTCGTTGTATCGCGTCGGCAATGGACTGCTCATTCGCGCTGAAGACATCGCTGCCAAGGTCGAAGCCTGCCATCATTTGCGCCATCTTCTCGGCCTTCTTCTTCTCCTTCTCGTCCAGCACTGCACTTGTCTCTTTGGCGCTCATCTTGACGTCAAGCAGCTGCTGCTTGACCTCGTCGAGCTCTGTCGTAAGCTCGGAGTTGGCCTCCTTGAGCGCATCCATGGTGATCTGGGCCTCCTTGCTCTCGAACGCCAAGCGCTCGAGCTGCATGCGCGCCTCGTTGGTCTCGCTAGTGAGGCGCTCATTCTCCTTGCCGAGCTTGCTGTCGTGCTCCTTGATGAAGGCAAGCTCTTCTTTGGACTCTTGCAAGCTCTTCTCAGCTGCCACAACGGCAGATTCTCTCTCAGCCAGCTGATCCTGTAGCTCGTTCTCCCTGCGAAGAAACTCTTCCCTTTCGTCCTTATCTAGTGGGAGACTAGGAGTTCCAGCACGATCAGTCAACGCCGGTGTTTCAGATCGGCTGTCGGGGATTAGACGAGAAGGCGTCGACGGCCGCGGGGCGGCAGATTTCTTGCTAGCGACGCCATCAGCAGACATGGGCGGAACCCATTGTTCCTTGGGGACCGCGTCGCCGGATCGCCACTGTTGCAGCTCGGCCTCCATATTTGAGATGTAGCTTTCGAAGTTGGTCATGTTCGCCTTGGCCTTGGCCAGCATCGCCTTGAGCTCGGCCGGGCTGAGCTCTGCGTTGACCTTTGCCTTGTTCTTGATCGACTTGGCGCGCATACCGAAGCGAAGCGTGCTCAAGGTCTCTTGGTCGTTGTAACTGCTGGGTGAGCAGTTGATGATGAGCGTGGTCCGGCTGTTTCCTCCAAGCGACTCTTGCAGAATTCTTGTCAATTTCGAGTCTCTGTAGGGGACGTGCGATGACCGGCCATCGGTAAGCGCGTTGATGACCATTCCCAGGGCGCTCAGACTCTTGTTGATCTTCTTGGCCTCCTCGAGCGTCTGCCCACTCGCGCCAGTCTTGCCGACCTTTTCGCTACCAGCCAAATCGACCAGGAACAGCTGACCGCTCTTGGACGACCCCGTCTCGAGGTTCTTCTGGGTCACGACGATGACGAATATCGAGTGTGATCGAGACGATTCCTGGTTCATGTTGGTTGCGGCGACGGCGCGGGCGTTGCCTCCCCTCTTCATGACCTCGAAGACCTCTTCGACGCTTGAGACGTAGACCTCGAGGAGGCCCTTGACGTATACGCCCTTGTTCTTCTCCTCGTGTATAGGCAAGTTGTCGTTCTGGGGAGCGAGCAGATCGCGAATGCGCTCCATGTAGATTTCCATATAGCTGACTCGTACCGTGTACTCGATTGTTGCTGGGCTAGACATGATGCTGCTGAAGATCTGCTCGATAATACGTGGGGTAACACCCTTGCCCACCTCGTCCTCGATGCTCGTACCCATCATGGTGAACGACTTTCCAGCACCGGTCTGACCGTAGGCGAAGACGGTTCCATTGTAGCCGTTGAGGATATCATCGACGGTGGGCTTGATCGAGTAGTCGAAGATGTCGCGCTGCTGTCCTTGCATGTCAAAGACACGGTCGAAGGTGAAAGACCCCTGCGCCTCCCCAGACTGTTGATTGCGAGCACGGTTAGCACTGTGGTCCCTGGTGCCAGAGAGGCAGCTTCGGCGCCAGAGGCTGCGGGCGTGATCTTACATTGAGTGAGCAGGTGTCATTGCCCTCGAAGGAGACGATCGGCTGGCCGCCCGAGGCCAGCTCGACCTTGTTCTGAGGCCGGAACCGGGCGACAACCTTGATGCTGTTGGCTCCCGACATGATGGCGTGGTCTCAGCTTGTCGGCGAGAGAAAGGTTCGTGGCAGGAGGAGAGGCTTTAGGCACGGTAGCAGGGCCGGCCAGACGGTAACATGTTAGGATGGAGCCAGGCGGTGCGACCAAGGGAGTCGTCGAGCACGGCGGGGGGTGGGGACGGAGTGCCTGGGACGGAGCGGCGGTAAGGTACAGGCGATCCAGGGGACGCGTGCGGGCGGCGGTGGGTGGGTAGGTAGAGACTCTTGGCCGGGGCCGTGTTGAATGAGAAAGATACAAGAACAAGGACGCCGTCTGTGCAAGCCAACAGGCCGCGCAGAGAGCTGTAGGAACGGCGGGATGGCGAGGAGGAGGAGACCGCGGGTTGTGAGCCGGCCAGGAAGCAGATTTACAGATTCGAGGTGGGAAGGGTGTTGGATGCGGCGGCGGCTTGGTGGGAGGGACTGGTGTTTGTCCCTCGATGCGTGCGGGTGCTGGGCAGCACGACGACGTGCCTGAAGGGCGCCCCACCTCTGTTATTTGCATTCATGCGAGCCACGTGCTATTGCCAACTCGTCTTGGTCCAATTCTCCTACACGCTTGGACCTGAGACAACATAGCCTGATCAAGTATCTTCGTTCCGCAGTAAGACAGCAATAGGCAATTGCACGCACCTTTCGTGGCAGCTTCACGTTCCTGACATTCAGGCTATTTTCATCATCTGCAGTAACCAAGAGGCGCGGAATAGTGGCTAGATCCTGATTGAGTGAAGTGCCATGGTATCAAATATTGGGACTGAAATGAAACGGCAGGAACAAGGACAATCGCGGCTTTACACAAAAAGACCAACCAAGCCTTCCACGCCTGTCGAGATCGTGGCGCGCCGCCGCTATCTCTCATGGCATGGTCCATGGAAAGCAAAGTTTCCTCGGTCGCAGAACCACGCCAGCAGCCGATAACACTGGAATCCTAATAAAGCTGACCCTAACTCCGAGAGCTATGCAGAACCAAGCAGACCACCTCGTACAGAAACCCAATAAAAACAGCGACACAAGTTTTTTTTTTTTTTGGCTGTGTTGAGCATTCGATGCAGATACCAAAAGTTGGGAGCCGAGGACTATCAGACAAGCCTACGCATAGCCATC